TACCATAATCAATTGGTTTCTACAAAGCATTATTAAAACAAAGCCAAGTTAATATTGATTTATCTCAAAAATGACAGACCTTTGAATATTTTATCCACCTTTATGTTAGTAAGGACATGCATATAACTGCATTGACTTTATTCTTTAACAATTATTCCATCAAAGCAATAAATTTCCTTCAACTTCTGAAAGTCTCAAAAATAAGGAATTATTTCCTTATATTTGTATTTTTCTTTGACAGAAACTTTAGAAGAAAAGAGGAGCAATATTTCTGGGGTCAGAATTTGAACTCTAGAGTACCATTAATGTATTATACTCCCAAATGATTTATCAGGGAAGGACCAGCGGTAAATAAAAGTTTAAAAGAACCAAATACAATGAAGTGTCAGTAGAAGTAAAAGTCTAGGAAGTTTTCAAGGGCAGAAAGTATTACATTAAAATCAGAAGCATTAATTTTATTTTGTTTAAAACACCATTTTCAAAGGAAGTTTTTGCCGTCATTGTAAATTAAAATAAAATGCTTTTTTCATGGGCAACTGAGATGGCATGGTACATCATAACACTACATATATTATGAGAAGGAATATGAAATGGGATTTTCATAGAAATTTGAAATAATTTTAAATTATATTCTTAATAGTTTATAATAATTCTATAATAGTTTATAATATTTTTAATATAATATTTATATCATATTATAGAGATTATATTACATATAATAGATTATAATTATAATTATTATGTTAAATTTATAAGCATTTGTAAAATCTCATAAATGAGGTTTTAAGAATTATTATATCTGAAACCTACAATATTATTATAGTTATCAAGATGCAAAATATTTCACATTCCTTTCTAGCTGTTGAACAAAAATGACAATCTTTCTCATAATATTTTTTTAGGGTCATCTACTTTACTGACAATAAAATCCTGTCTAGATCTTTCCTAACATGGCAAAATGTTTAGCTAAAATAACTGTTACAGATTGTGGAATGTATAGTCAGAAAAAAAACAAAAGCAAATTAGAAAGTCATAATATTATTTGTAGTCATGAATGATTAAAATTTTAGAACCAAGTTATATGAAGAAAATGAGAAAAACACTAGTGGAAATAATGGATTTAAGTCATGACACATGAATTCAGTCTGCTTTGTTCTGAATGCAATTTCTCAACATACTATCACTGAGTAATTTTAATTATTTTGTGACTTCATAAGCCATTAATTTGACATTAAAAGATGAAGTGATTATAACAGAACAGTGAATACAATAAGGAAAATAACTGTGAGAAATCAAAGAATGTTTACCTGACTTTGATGCGATAATAAGAATTATTATCATTATTATTATAATTCTTAGAAGGAGCTTTCTTTTCCTGGGTTTCTTTCAGTTGTATTCTCACACGTGTTAGCCATGCTGGGAGTGAGACTTCCGGCACAAGCAAATGGTGTGACCTCAACTCCAGTTCCTCTATCACAAGCCTTGTAATGAAATGCAAAGCAACCAAACAATGCAGTCCTGTGCAGTTCATCTCATTGTCCAATGGCTAATGCTGGCCACGTTTAAGAAAGGACTGAACATCCCAAGCCTATCAATATGTGAATAACATCATAACTACAGAATATCACCTTCATTATGCGACAAATACACCTGTCCCAGTAACATCTGCTTGCCTTTTTATAATTTCTACCCAAACTCAGTCAAATTTATGGGGAAAAATATCAAGACACTCATTTCCCAAGAGACAATCTCAGACTGGTACAAATCCAAACATATTGGAGAGGGGCAAGGAGGAGGAAATTTCTGTTGGGGTAAGTTAACTACCAGGAACATCCACAGTGTTTTTTGCCATTAGCACGAAGGAGTAACACAGACAGAATATGAGGTCCCCAAGCTCATCGCGTGTTACAGCTGAACAGCAATCCATCCCACCCCATCACTTCTGGGGTGCTGGATTCCTGTGGCAGACTGCCGACCACAAGGAGGCAAGTTAGCGGTTTCACGTAAATTTTCTAGGCCACTGCAATGTCTTCCGTCTTACACACACAGTCCTTCCTCACCCATCTACTATGGAATATCATCAATTAGCTTAATTTACAGATTACAGTAATAGGGAGGAAAATTTTGTAAAATTTTTGAATTTCTTGATTTTTGCTGACCTTCATACTGAAAAAGGTGGAGGATTAAAATTTTTTTCCATAAGACAAAGACAGTCAATACCATAAAGGTTAAAGTAGTTGGGTAATAGAAGAAAATATCTAATCTTATTTTTGGGATTATTTTTTTTATTATTTTCGTGGAGGTTTTGGTTTGTTGGTTTGGGGGGTTTTCTTGGAACTGTTCTTTTGTTTTTAAAGGCAGAAGAGTTAGGAACAACAACCTCTGCAATGCTTATGTGTTTTTCTCAGTAATTGTAGTAATTTGATAGTGTGCTAATATGCTGAATCTTTGGAATTATTGACTTTATTGAGGTTGAGAGATTCAATTGCTTGCATTCTTGACAGATCAAGAGAAGAGTAAAATAATGAGAACACGTTCTTTAGAAGAGGCTAGGAAGAGGTGAGGATCATATCTATGTTTCTTAGAACTTTTCAAGGTCAAGCTTTTCTAGAAATAAAGAATTGGGAAAACCCAACAGCAAGCCAACAAAAAGCCCGTATGAAATGGGTAGGAGGAGTGGTTGGCACTGAGGAAGAGACACTGGTTTTCAGGCAACACCAGAATAGGGGATAAGCTATCTAGACTGCATGCTACATTATTTATCCCAAATGTTTGGATTGCTTTTTCTTTTGTTCTTTACTCTCTTTGCAGACTAACTATGAGCAATCTAAGTTAAAAAAAAAAAAACAGAAAAGGTAAATAAAAATAAACTGAAGTGAGTTTACAAACTTCTGAAATTGCACTGTGACAGATCTGCTGTTTATTTCATTTTTATGTCTTTTCAGTTTATTGCCAGCTTCTTCTGTGAATTTGACAGTGCAATATTTTGTGACAGTTAAAGCTTTACTTCATGTAAATGGACTTTGATTCCAGGCATTTCAAAGACATTTAATACAGTTCTGTCTCACACTGATAAAGACGATAGATATACATAACCAGCAGCATTTTTGACAGTTTTCTGCCAAGTCACGCTATGTAGCTTCAGCTGAGACATGAAAAATAATTTTGTTTAACATTACCCTATGGGGTCTAATGAATGTTCATTGAATTTCAGTCCTGAACTTCCAATCCTGTATACTGAGTCATGGAAAGCTCACACCATTCTGTCATGCATCACTTGTTAATGAACTTCTTTGACCTTCATAAAGAGACTTAACAAAGGAAATGAGTATCCATTGTTGCTTGACACAAAAAGGTAGTATTTAGCTTGAATAACCCCATTCCAAACCTTCATGTTCCATGAAAAAGCTAGTATGCATTTCATGAGTTCATTATTAAAGGATATTATTTCAAGATAGATGATTTACAAATTGTTATATATCTGTCTCTTTGTACTGTTATATTCAGGAGGTTGCAAGAAGAGAAGGAATGTAGCACCAATTGTTCATATTAGGCTACAGCAGAAAAGTCAATGGGAAAAGCTGAAAGAAAGGGACAGGGGACCCTTGCTCACCCAGGCTCTTCACAGTGATACTTGATGGGAGGAAGAGTGTAAGTGGGACAAAAGAGCATCAGAATGAATATAAGAAAAAATGTTTTTGAAGAAAAACTTTTTTCAACCTCAGTACAGTCATGAAATGGAGCAGGTTGCACAGAGAGGCTGAACAGCCTCCATACTTGGAAGTTTTCAAGGTATTACAGAATAAACCCCAGAGCAACCCGGTCTAATATCATCCCCTTATCATGTTTTGAGCAGGAAGTTGAACTAGAGGGCTCCCACAGCCCCTTGCAACCTGAATTATTATCTTATCCTATGATTTTTTGGTACTGGGTACCCAACAGCTGTAAAAAAGAGAAGGATTCGGTTAAGTAGTAGGAAAAAGTAAAAATTATTGCTAGATGGGAAAAGAGGCAAGAAAACCCTTGTTGCAATAGCTTTCTCCACTTGTTCCCTACTGCAGCTATGGAAGGGGGCTGGTACATCCGAAATTAGGAACAGGAAAGATATCTACAAAATCTTCACATCAGCCCTGGAAGGAGTGATGGGACTGGAGTGGGGAGTCTACCAAAGTAGTAATTTACATAATTATGTCCAAGGAAAGCCGTATATGTTAAGGGTAATCTAGAACAATTAGTTCCTTATGCTGTGTTTTGTTTTTGTGACTCTTATAATGGAATTGTATTTCTCTTGACAGAAGTCAGTACACACACTCTTTTATATTTAAATCTTGTAGAACCATAAACCAGAGTCATGTCACATATGGAAGATACATCCTGCCCTGGAAAGATGGACATAATTGGGGTGTACTGAAAAGACATGTTTGTGCTATCTATATTCAGGGCTTCTCCTGAGTTTTCATGTCGCTCCCACACTAGGTTGCAGGAGATTTTTTGTGCTGTTTACACTGGTTTATGCAGAGAAAGACAACTCCCTTGGTATGTCTGGAACTTTGATGAGAAGCCTGAAAGTGGAAAATGGCTTCATGCTTCAGGAGGGAGGGATGGAAAGGAAACCTGTCACACTAACATAACATATATTTGAAAAAGTCTTCTTTCTTTTTTATTCTGTTCATTACCCTCCAAAGATTAAAGACAGAATTCCATTCCTGACTTAATATATTTTTTACCTACATATTCAAAAGAGAAGCAAAACTATTAACTCTTCAGAAGTTCACAGCTAGATCGTATTGATAAGGACACTGGAGGAAATGGAGAAGCAACTATTAGCTTCACTTTGAAATAGGAAAAAAGATATATGTCAGTATCAAGGATATTAGTAAATATCTATGAAGATATGTGTAAATATTAAAATACTTTCTGATTTCAGGAAAATGATGGAGTTGAATGTGCAACCATGGACAATAACATTTTTATCTTATACAACTTTGTTTCTCTTTTAGTGGCAAAGCATTACTATAACACTGGTTGAGAAAGTGCAGATGGTTGCTGTAATCCTAGGATCTCTGTTCTTAGTAGCAAGTGTGACTTGGCTTCTATGGTCAGCCTTCAGCCCTTATGCAGTATGGCAAAGAAAGGACATCCTTTTTCAAATCTGCTATGGAATGTATGGTTTTATGGATCTAGTATGCATAGGTAAGCTCAAATCTTTAAACAGCACAGACTGTGGTTTAAGACTGTGACTATTTCTATTTTTCTAATTGGTCACTCTAATTGATCAGTTCTTTGCAGATTTATTCTCAGCTGATACCTTTGGCAAATGCTGCTTTTTACAGTGTTGCAAATATTGCAGAGAGAAAAGAATCAGGGAAGCTTTACTCTCAGACTCATCAGTGGATTCACAAAATCTTAGTGGGGAGAACAGGATCAGTTTAAATTTCTTAAATGACTAGCGAAGTTCAGGGGTTAAACAGATGAAAATATGAAAGACATTATTAAAATAATTAGTAAAATTACACACTGTCATCTTCTGATGCCAGTTTGAATTAGATTGTACCATCATGAAGCACAGAAGAAGCCGTTGAAGATGTCATCAAACTGCACACCCAAAATTAGGTTGCACAGATTTATATAGGTCACTGTGCTAGAAATGGAGGAGAACAAAGAAAGCAGGCATGAGTTCTTTGCATATCATAAACAATTATGAAACACTCACACAGTGCTAACTATAGTAACTTGCTTTACTATTAAAAAGCCCCAAGTCATTTAGTCAAAACCTTGTAAAAGAAAATACATTTTACTGCAACACTGTATTGACCACTTTTGAAATTTCTGAAAATATATACTGGATCAGGGAATATTTAAATAAAAACCCTTTTAGTATTTGGTAAAACAACCTGATTTGATTGTTAGAATATTTGGAGAGAAAATTTACATTAAATATTACCTAATTATATAATTTAGAGAAATAAATTTACATAATTAGTAAAAACTAATTATTTACATCAAACCACATTCACAGAATTTTAATTGCAAGAAAATCCAGAAGTCAAACGCCATCTGATGTTTGCATTGATATTTCTGAGAGATAAATGTTATCTGAATCTTATATATGGGAATTAGAACATTAGTGCTGAATTCTGCTTTGTAAGGGACAAAGAAGCAGAGTGATTCCTAATATCAAGGGTTTTGCTTCAACTGTAAAGCCACATCATCTTTTATTTAAACCATCCCATTACTGTAGAAGTATTTATATTTCAGCTACATCAGCAGTTCCATTCATTTTGTAATTTTTGTTAGAGAAGTCTGCTCTGGAATATTTTGTAACACAGGCTTTCTTCTTTGAACCCAAATCTCAGACAGAAAAGTGAGCAGAATCTCATAGTTTGGACAAGTGCTCATCTTTTAAATTAATAAAAGAACTCAGCTACGTGTCCTCTTAGATGCTGATTTCTGAACATCACCTCTTCCAGCTTAACACTCAATACTGAGGGCTTTGCTTTTGTTTAAAAATACCCCAAAGGAAGATAAAATGTGCTTTAGGCATTCCAAGCATTTCATTTATATGGAGTTCTGGTTTGTTTGGGTTTTTTCTCCCCAATTAAAAAAAAATACTTTGGAATGCATCAGCTAGTTGAAATAACCAGCTACTTCAAATTATTTTCTTTTTTCCCATTTGTTTTACTATTAAAACACCTAAACCAGATTAAACTCCACATTAGCCAAGAATGTCTGTGGGTAATCAGAAATATTACTGTATTTATCCATGGAAGCAAATATTTGGCAGGTGACCTTCCATAGATTGGTGCATCCTTTAGCTGCCTTTCAAGCCAGCTAGGATGAAGCCACTGCTGAAGTGGAAGCTGCTGAACAAACGTGTACCTCACATGGAGCTTCTTCAGGAGCAAAGCAAACACACAGATAAACTGACTTGCCTTTCATTTAATAAATGCATATTTTATAGAACTATCACAAATAATAAATGAAAATTTAAATGTAAAAGTGACTACAATTAAATATATTTGGAGACTATATTGTAGATACAAAATTCACTGCACATATGACTTGGGAATTTACTGTATCTGGAAATTCAGAAAGCTGTATAAAGGAGGTTTTGTAATTGAGGAATTTTGATAATCCAGATTCATTCAGACCCACTTATTCTGCATATAATTTCAAGTAATTTGCATTCTGTTAGCTTGTAAGATCAGGACTTCTTGTAACTCTTAAAAGTATTCATTAATATAGTCAACCTTATTATTTTCATCTTATTCTTTCACGATGAAGTGAGGGGTTTAGATTGATAATTTTAATTTACAAATTTCAAATAAAATTCTCTAATAGATATATGTAAGCATTACTTATAACTTATTTTTAAAACCCAAAATACTTTCCATTATGCTGATGATTTCCCTAGGCATTAACTTATTTTACCATTATTATGAATCATCTCTTATATCATCAAACTTGTACGGCTTCCAACCAGCTACAGGTCTCACTTAGGATCTCCTCTCCTTTCATTTGTGTTTAGTCATCCATGGCATTGTCTTAGTTTTGAACAGGATTTACAGTGAGCGAGTACCTCTCCTCCCACTGTAATCTCTTTATTTCAATGAAAAATTTATGCAGACCTACAGGTTTTCCTGTGCACCACGTATTTCAAGATAATGCTTGAGGTACTGATGGTATGACCAAGATTTATTCCACCTGTTTTCAGTTATGCCTCCCTACACTTTTGCAGAAACAATGCAAATACTTTTTGGTTGTGAAATGTAGATATCTTCACACAAAAAGTGTGAAGCATTTTTTGAAATTTTTTGCTATAATTTTAAAAGCAGTTTGCCAAAAGGTACTGACATATTTTTATCACATATTTGAAAATGTGCACATAACAATTAATTTACTCAGTTATTGACTTCTATATCACATGTAGCCCACCAGTCACTTACTTATTAAGTAAATTACACCTAACATGTATTTTACTTCTTTGTTTTTACATTTCAACAAAAGTAACACCCTGTAGATTATAGATCGTGAGAATAATATATTCTGTTCATTCTAGTGTTCATGCTTTTTTGGTATCCACTGTTCTCTTTCTTCTAGTCTGAATTTTCCCAGAATTATTCCTGACAAATAGGATTGTTTTGATTTATCAGTGTTAGTTTTCACCCTACAAGCCATTACCTTGTACCTTTCTGCATCAGAGGTGAGCATAAAGCTGTTCTCTTTGAAATTTGCTAGTGGTTGAGTTTTCCTAAAGCAAACTTTGAACACCCTGATCAAGCAGAACTTCAGCCTGTGAAACCCAGAGCTATTCCAGTGATAGTGCTAGCATCAGACCATCCACGTAGGGATTACCACAGGGAGTGAGTTAATGAAAGGAATGAATAATGTAAATCCCTTATCTACTCACTGAAGGACCGTGTATCAAGCCTTTGCCATTCTACTTTCCAAACCTAGCAATTATTTTGCATAACAGAAAAGCAGTAGAATTTTATATTTTTTTTACTGGAAAGCAGTTATAACTACTGGTCATAAATGGTTCTAACATGAACAAAACCTCTCACAAATAATAACAGCTGACTTGCAATCCCAGAACAACAGTGCTGCTCCTTTTCCAGCAGTGAAAAGTAGTTGTTACATTGCACCAGACACATGACAGGTGCCAGTAGTACTGTGGCAAGGGAGGAAGAGTTGGGAGCCAGTGCGAGGTGTGAATTGCCCTCTGAAAGCCTCTTTCTTCTCTGCTAAGGAATTTGATGCCTTGCACAATCCTGTAACTCCTTAGTTGTAAAAAGGAACAGGCTGAAATTACTTACAATGAACACATCTAGTGGCACTTTATATGTCTTTACTCAGAAAGTCTTATTTTCTCCCACATTGGATCTAATTCTAAATAGTTTATAAATAATCATATTTTTTTACTATTACTATTTTTAGCATGGATATGTTTCATTTTAATACTCCGAGCATTTGCTTGCTTTTTATTTATATGTGTGGGCCCTAGAATAGTTTTAAGACATGACATTTTGTCCAGAGGTAAAGTCTGTTTCTGAAAATGATCGTTTATCCCTGGATAAAATCTTGTGATATTACTGGGAGGACCATTCCTAAATGTTATTATGAAAGTTTAGTATGATAAATAAGATAAAGTTGTAACCTAATACCACCAAATATGAATAAGACAAGTTGACTGCTTGTAAAGACATTCATTAGTAAAAAGTTTCAAGTATCTTGTGAGTCAGGGTAAGAAAACCTTTGAAGACAGTGAAAGAATAGAATAGTACTTGGCAAAAAGATAAAAAAAGAAAATAAAATTAAGATTCTTCATAATCCTATTAGCTGGATCCCACTGCAATCCCTCCATCTTAGAGACAAAACCTGAAAAGGTAAAGTCTTCTTAGAACCACAGGACATTTAGATGGGTCCATCATCCAAAAACCCTGTTCCTTGTAGATATTAATGGGACAGAACATCTGAACAGCTAACAGTAGTGAATTGTAATACTTCTTGGGATCATCTGAGTCAAGCAAATATTTTTCCCCTACAAGTGTTCAGCTGTGTCCTCTGTGCAGTTAAAATCATGGTGTTTGGAAGAAATCTGTATTCTTCAGGGATTTGTTCTCCTTTTCTCTCTCATAGCTACCTTCATTGCTGTGAAATCCTTAAGGGAAAGGCAATTATTTGCCATTTCCTTACAGCTCCACTTCAGTGACTAACTAGCTGCATTTTGAGCGTCAGAACTCCTCTGGACCTGGAAAATTTCTAGCATTTAAAACCTACCTGGAGTTCCTCTTGTTTGTGGTCTTGGAACTGATGGTGCCAAGAACTTCACACTCCCCCTCACCCCCATTCCCCCCTCATCCCCCCCCACCATCCCCCAATTCTTTTGCCTCATCTAGGTAGGTATTTTTGTATTTTTCAATCTATAGCTCTATGAAGAAGGGAGCTAAAACTTTTTATGAGAAGAATTACGAAAGTGCTGCTTTTCTCCTTCAGCACTGCCAAATCTGACAACTTTGTCAAGAGTTGCCATATTTGATCCTTTGTTTTGTAGCTCTTTTAAAGTATATGTGACTGACTGCTTCTACTATAAAGGAACCCTTGCCAATGCTTAAAAATTTTAAAAACAAAATTTCAATAAATCCTGAAAGCCCCAAGACAGTAAAAAGGGGCTCCCTGAAAGAAGTCATCCTACAACTTTTTCTGTTGTAATTTTGAGAAGATATTTTGACTGTTTAAATGTACTTCATGTATCTCAATGATCCTTTCTCAAATACTTTGTTCTCAGCTCTGAAATATGTTGTTCAGCTTCTAGTGGAGTGCAGACATGTGTCTTTACTCTGGAGTAAATAGGTTCTTTTAAACTTTGCTTCATCACAGACTTGAGAGAAGTTGGGCCAAATAATGCTGTGTTCCAGGAACAGGTTGAGGAAGATTTTTCTTATCTCCTTTATCAACTTTATAGGAAATCCAAAAAAACACAAAAGGATTAATCTTTGTCACAGCAGTAAAACCATGGCTAATTTGGTTTGTAGATTCTGTACAGGATCCAATACATTTATTCTTTCTGTACAATCAAGCCAGTCTTGAAGGTACATTTATGTATCAACTAAACTATTATGATAAATTTTAAAGACAGGTTACTTCATCTATGTCTGAGAAGACAAAGATAGAAATCTTGCAATCAAGAAAAAATTCCACTAAAATGCTTTACTGCTACAAAATACATTTAGAATATTTACTATTTATTAGGTTTGTTTCATGCTGCTTTTGCTATATTGGATGCTTCAATGAACTCTAGGCAACTTGAAAGCCTTACAGAGATGCTGCATTCACCATCATGTCCTTCTGAAAGAAATCTTCGTGTTTCTCCATCTTTCAGTGTAATGATATTTAAAAATATGTTAGAGTAGGCGTTGCTATCTGAAAATCACTGCACTTTAATGTGAGGTTTGCTGTTCATGTAAATATTTTTACCACCCTTTCAGCCTGTGTCATCTTTCTGTGAGCATCTCCTTTATGGTATCACTTAATTGTGCTAAAGAACCTCAGACACTTAAATCAGAATTATTTTGTGTAGAAACAGGTGATATACAATCCCTTGGGCTAAAGCACATCACAGATCACATTATAGATGTGGCCATGTATAGGAAAATTTTAGGCAAGGAGCACACTAGACAGAAGATTTATAAGTGTTTTTGGCCAGGCAGATTGCTCTCTTCCCAAAGCAGGGAGCCATAGAAAACAGGGGGTGTTGCTCAGAACTGTGTAAGTGTCCTCATCAGGCTGTATGAGGAAAAAACTACTAGGAAGGCAGAAGCCCCATGTGTCTTCCCAGTAGATCCATATTTGAAATACTCACATATAAAGAGTGTGAGTATAAACATATACATACATACAAAAAGTTAGAAGCTTAATTTCTTTAAATAAGTTGCTTGAGTGCATACAATAGGAATAAATATTAGCTACATGGAAATTCATAGGCAGATTGGTCTCCTGAGGACTCCAGAAATTCTGTATTTTCCTTGAAGGACCTTTTAAAAGATTTCTCGGTTTCAAGAAAAAGATAATTTACAACTTTTTCCTATTGAATACTGAAGAGAAAGAAGAAAGTCTATCATCCTTACCATGCTCATTGTAGTTAACAATAACATTTAATTCTGTCTTGTTCTAAAGAACAAGACAGGAAAGTCATTATATTTACAGCTGCTTCAAAAATCTTGTGTGCTCCTAAGTTGAACTGGGAATATGAAGGCAGATAAATTTGTCAGTTTCTGTACTGAATTCTACGAAACACTCAAACAAATTTAGGATTGTCCTGTTCAAGGCAGAAGGTCTAACCTACTTAAAAGTCTACTTTAAGGAGTACCAATCTCAGTAAATAAATAGTACTTACCATGAACAAGGGCAGCACTAGCATAAGCAGTCAATATCCAAATCTGCCAGTTTTGCATTGGTTTACTTAAATCTGAATAATTTATTTAGTTAGGCATGCTCAGATTATTCCACTATTGGTTACGTTGAGGTTTCATTCACAACAACTTATTTCCTCTGCATGTTCCTGCCTCCCAAACAAATGAATAACCAGTTAAATTGCATAGGTACAGTTTGTTTGAGTTATTAATGTTATGAGTGACTTAATTGCATCTGGAAATTGTCAGAGTCATTAAAATGTGTTAAATCTCTATTTGCTCTCAAAATGGTATCCATTGACATTTTGTATAAACTCTCTTTTTTCCCTTTTACTTTCAGGATTGATAGTCCATGAAGGTGCATCTGTTTACCGTGTGTTTAAGCGCTGGAGAGCTGTGAATCTGCACTGGGATGTGTTAAATTATGATAAAGCCACGGACATAGAAGAGAGCAATCGAGGAGAATCCTCAGCAGGGAGGACATTGTGGCTGCCACTGACTGCATTTAGAAACAGAAGTTTAGTTCATCCAACACAGTTAACCTCGCCGAGACTTCAGTGTGGCTATGTGTTGTTACAGCTGTTCAACCGCATGAGACCTCAGGAGGATTCATCAGAGGATAACTGCTCTGGGGAAGTAGTGATGAGAGTGACCTCAGTGTAAAGATTGTGCTCACTGTGCTACACAGATAAGGATAATGTGCCCTGGTTTACAGGACTGTGGAATGTAGTTATGATGAATGGTGAAACCATTAACACTTGAAAAAATATATACACTTCTTTTTTTTAAATTTAATGTTTTTTATATGATCAGATAAAACACAAATACATTTTTCTGGGGGGAAAAGTCTCTTGCTTTTTATATAGTCTGATTTATTGAATCTTTTCTCAATTTGTACCTGAGGTGTATGTAACATAGCTTAACTCTTAGGTCTTTGAATGATGAGGAAACTCATTTTTAAGTAAAAAGATATATTTAAATGTATTTTCTTAAACTCTGGCTTTAATCCACTACTGTTATTTTTTTCCACTTTCATGAGGATTAAACTGGACAACATTCTTCCAAAAAGAATGTTGACACAAGTAAAATATTTTTCCTTTTCTGTCTTTATTTTGCTGTTGTTTGTAGCTCAGTTCAGTTGTGTGAAAATAAGTAAAGGATATATTGTCCTTTGCATTCAAGCAGGAAGCCCAGGGAGTGTTCTACAAAACCTAAAAGAAGATGGGAATTCTTTTCTTTTAGCTCTCCCAGATGTCCATGCAAGCTATCAGACACAAGTATGACTCAGACAGGGATAGAGTCTTGTACTGCCTCTCGAGTCTCTTAAGATCTGCGGAGGGCTGGTGCTGTGCCTGTGTTTAGAAGTGGCATTGCCTTCTCAGCAGCACTGCTGGAATTAGCAATGTGTGAATCTTTAGAACTATTCTAATTATAGGTCATTGACATCCCTTTAAAAAAAAAGAAAAAAAAAAAAAGAGAAGAAATGTGCATTGTAATTTCTGATAGAATCTGGAGTATAAATAATAAAGAACCTTAATTTTGCCAGGGAACAAATCATCATATTAAAAATGAGCCAATAATATGATAGATAAATGCTGTGAAATTTGCTTCTCTTGTTTCTGTTTCATGGCAAAAATTCTAATAGAATTTAATCAAATAGTAATGGAATGGAAATAATTTTCAACCTAATAATAAGCCTGTTGAAGATTGAGATAGAAAAGTAAGACTGAAATTACTCTGAGAACACTAGCTTACTCAAAACAGTTCTGTAGAATCATAGAATATACTGATTTGGAAGGGACCCATAGGAGCATCAAGTCCAACTCCTGGCCCTACACAGAACATCCCTAGAGTCACACCATGTGCCTGAGAGTGTTGTCCAAACACTTCTTGAACTCTGTCAGGCTGGTGCTGTGACCACTTCCCTGGGGAGCCTGTTCCAGTGCTCAGTTCACCTCTGGTGAAAGATCTTTTCCCGACACACAGTCTAAACCTCTCCTGACTCAGCTTCAGGCTATTCCTTGAATCCTGTCACTGGTCATGAGAGTGAGGCAGTGCCCGTCTGTCATGGTTTCACCCCAGCCAGGCAGCCACTCGCTCAGTCCCCCACCAGTGGGACGTGGGAGAGAATCCAAAGGGCAAAAGCCAGAAAACTCATGGGTTGAGATAAAGACAGTTTACAAGGGAAAGCAAAAGCCACACACATAAACAAATTTAAACAGGGAATTCAGTCACCATTTCCCATGGGCAGGCAGGTTCAGCCATCTCCAGGAGAGCTAGGCCTCATCATGTGTAGCAGTTAACTGGAATGACAAAAGTCATCACTCCAAACATCCCTCCCTTTTGTCCATCTTCCCCCTACTTTATATACTGCACATGATGTCACATGGTCTGGAATATCCCTTTGGGCAGTTTGGGTCACCTGCCCTGGCTGTGTCTCCTCCTAGACTTCCAACAACCTCACCCTCCTCACCAGCAGGGCAGTATGGAAATCAGAAGGAGCCTTGGCTCTGTGTGAGCCCTGCTCAGCCATAACAAAATCTCTATCAACATCTACTACCAATTCTGTGCTCAGCATAAATCCAAAACAGTCTGTACCAGTCACTGTGAAAACATTTAATTCTACTCCAGCTAAACCCAACACATTCCACCCCTTATTCCATAGCATTTACATGATGCCAGGTGTCCCACTATTCAATTCAATGGCAGTAACCACCACCTTAACCAACACACTGCCCATCTGCTTCCCCTCATGAGGATGTTGAAGCCACCAGTTAGATCTCCCCTCAGTCTCTTCTCCAGGCTGAACAGACTAAATGAGCTCAGTTGCTCTTCATACAGCTTTTCCTTCAGATCCTTCACCATCCTTGTAGCCCTCCTTTGGGCCTCCCTTGGATGCTCTTCAATAGTATAACGTCTTTCTTATGTTGTGGCACCCAAAATTGCACACAGTGCTGAAGGTGAGGCCACTCCAGTGCAGAGCAGAACGGGACAGTCCCCTCCCTTGCCCAGCTGGTGGTGCTGTGCCTGATGCACCCCAGGACAGGGTTGGCCCTCCTGGCTGCCAGGGCACTGCTGGCTCATGTTCAGCTTGCCACTGACCAGAACACCCAGGGCCCTTTCTGCAGTGCTGCTTTCCAGTACCTCATTCCTTTGGCCTATACCCACACCCAGAGTTGCCCCATCTAAAGTGCAGAATCCAGCACTTGATCATGTTGAACTTCTTATGTTAGTGATTGACCATCTCTCTAATTTGTTGAGGTCTCCCTGCCCCCAAGGGGGTCAACATCTCCTCCCAATTTAGTGCCATCAGCAAACATATTTAGTGTTCCTTTGAGTACTGTGTCCAAGCCGTGAATGAAGACGTTGAAGAGAACTGGGTCAGGGAGGGAATGTTGGGTTGACCTTTTGTGGCTGTCAGATCCCCACCCAGCTTCTCTATCACCCTTCTCAACAGAAGAGAGAGGGAATATAGCATGAAAAATCTTGTGGGTCAAGACAAAGACAAGGGCATCACTAACCAGCTACCCCTCCTCTTCCCAGGCTCAGCTTAAACCCTTCACTCCCAACTCTTCCACCTGCTCTCCACTGGGCAGCACAGGGGGATGAGGAATGGGGGTCTGCAGTCAGTCTATAACCATTCCTGTCTGCTGATCCTTTCTCCTCCTCACACTTCTCTGCTCCAGCCTTGGGCTTCTCCAAGCATTTCAGTCTTTCAGTATAAACCTGCCCCAGCGTGGGCTCTCCGTGGGTTACAGTACCTTTGAGACGTGTCTGCCAAGGGCTACAGGAGGATGTCAGCAGCACCATGGTGTCTCCAGAGTGTACAGGGAAGTACCTGCTCCACCAGGACACCTCCAGGGTCACAGGGCTAACTCTGCTTGGGACAGACTGTGTTTGGCATGGAGCAATCCTAGCCTCTCCTCACAAAGGTCATCTCTGCAGCTCCCATCCCCACCTGCCCCCTGGGCACCTGGACGTAGGACAGAGATAAACAAAAAACAAGTTTATCCAGTGGCTGAAAATTTTTACTTTGTGCAGGAGATGGAGTGCTGAGGCTGGAAAATTCCCTCTCATGCATCAACAAGATGGTGCTGAAATCAGTGCATGCCTTCCTTTTATAAGAGGCTTACGTGCCACCACCAGACACAGGAGGTCTCTGTGACTACACTTGGAAGGGAAATAGAAATAATTTAAGCACTGGTGCTTAAAAGCTCCTTGTATATTCATAAACATTTATCTAATGAACTCTACACAGGGCCCAGCATTCTGTGTTACAGTCTCACAAGCTCAAAGTTATATTTAGTAAATTACAGATGTCTTACTACTCTCTAACCAATTCATGTGAAAAGCAGTACATAAGCCATGAACAACAAAATGCTATCTCAAAAAACCCAACTTATCTCCTGCATGGCAAATTACCAGCATACAACAGGCACTCTCCTTGAGAAACTATGAGAATCCACTTCTAGGTTATCTTTAAACAGTTTCCCAAAGGAGGAATTTGGGGAGAAATAAAAGATGAAATTATGACTTGGGAAACCTGCTGTATCACTGGGAAATACTTGTTCTTAATTACTGCTTAAATAAAGGCTGCTTTCCCAGAAGGACCACAGCTTCTCTTGATCAAATTGAGATCACAGTATCTCAAAAAGCACTTCCAATACCAGCATAATAAAGTATGCTGTGATCAATGTACTTATGTTTCACACCGTTTAGGTACTTGTGATCTCTGGGATTTAAAGAATATTAAGTGGTTGTTTACAGGATCCTAAAAACAAAATTAAGAACTATATGAAAACATTTTATTGTAAAGAAATCTTTTTTATTCCCATCCAAATGTGTAAGGTGCTGGGGGAAAACAAAACTCACCAGAAAGAAAATCAACAGATGTAATTTAAGAGAGACAAGATTTTTGTGCATAAATATTTGAGAGACACCTAGGTCTAGAACACTTAACCTCTGAGTGAAAAAATGGCCCAACTAAGAGAAATGAAAATTGTTTGTAAGAGAAATGTTCATGGCAAATATCACAAAACCTTTTTTAATAGTAGGAGAACTTAACATTAATTTATATAGCACAATAATTTTGCATATGACTGCATTTATGCATTTCCATATGTAGAAAACAGGATCAGGAAATTATAAACAGCAACAGGATCAGTATAGGCAGGATGCAGTTGTTAAAAAATAATGGAATTGCGTTGTCTTACAAAATATTTTCAGTAGTAAGAGTGCCTAGTGCAGGATATGAACATTTTTTCATTGACCTTGTATTTGGATTAGTGCAGTACTTGCATTGCTGTAATCACCTACATGCCAGAGGATGGATTAAAATGAGAACAGGTGCATAGAGAGGATATTAGGATGAGAAAGGAGCAGGGACTCTGTTCCAGTCACTACGGGGACAGGAGGAGGGGTGTGTGCAGAATTAGAAGAGCCTGGCTTGTTCTGCTTAACAAAAGTCGAGAGCGAATGTTATTGTTCTCAGTTAATACATTGCGGAATAAAATTTATTTTAGGCAAAGGACAAGCCTAAGACAGCAGAAGAATTCAAGGACATGAATAGATCAGAAATAAATTTAGCTAGAAGTTCAAGGTAGTTTTAAAATATTCATGGAATGAATTACAGACAACAATTCAAGCTGGAAGGACCCACTGGAGGACATCTAATCCAAGCTGCAGAGTCAGCTTTGAGGTCAGAGCAGGTTGCTCAGGGCTTTAAGCCATCAGGTCTCAAAAATCTTTAAGGATGGAAATTTTACATCCTCTATGGGCAACCAGCTCCAGCTCTTGACTGTTCCCAGAGTAGTATTTCCCACATTTTCTGCTGTTACAGCTTACACCCGCTGTCTCTCATTCTCCCATAAATCCCCACTGGGAAGTGGGTGGCTCTGCTTGCTAACCCCTTGCTGGGTCCTGGCTGGCCTCCCCCGAAGCCATCCCTCCTCAAGGCTGAATAAGGCCTGATTCCTCCCCATGCAGGGCAATCCAGCTTCTGCTGAATTTGTTCAGTTGCTTCATGTCTTTCCTGTACTGGGTTCTGCAAAGCATTAGAAGATGAAAGAACTTGTTGGTGAAGACAAAGGC